CCATATCTCCCCGTCTCGTCTTTCCTCCAAGCTATACATGTTAAGATCCTTTAACCTTTCCTGGTAAGTTTTATGCCGCAATCCATGAATCCGTTTAGTAGCCCTTCTCTGAACCCTCTCTAAGGTATCAATATCCTTCTGAAGATACGGTCTCCAGTACTGTGTTCAATACTCCAAGTGAGGTCTCACCAGTGTTCTGTACAATGGCATGAGCACTTCCCTCTTTCTACTGCTAATACCTCTCCCTATACAACCAAGCATTCTGCTAGCATTTCCTGCTGCTCTATTACATTGTCTGCCTACCTTTAAGTCATCAGAAATAATCACCCCTAAATCCCTTTCCTCAATTGTTGAGGTTAGGACTCCATCAAATATTCTGTACTCTGCCCTTGGGTTTTTACGTCCAAGATGCATTATCTTGCACTTATCCATATTAAATGTCAGTTGCCACAATTCTGACCATTTTTCAAGTTTACCTAAATCATTTGCCATTTGGCTTATCCCTCCTGGAACATCAACCCTGTTACATATCTTAGTATCATCAGCAAAAAGACATACCTTACCATCAAGACCTTCTGCAATATCACTAATAAAAATATTAAAGAGAATGGGTCCAAGTACAGATCCCTGAGGTACCCCACTGGTGACAAGTCCAAGCTTCAAATATATTCCATTAACTACAACCCTCTGTTGCCTGTCACTCAGCCACTGCCTTACCCATTCAACAATATTGGAATCCAAACTTAAAGATTGCAGTTTATTGATAAGCCTTCTATGTGCAACAGTGTCAAAAGCCTTACTGAAATCTAGGTAAGCAATGTCTACTGCACCACCCTGATCTATAATTTTAGTTACCCAATCAAAAAAATCAATAAGATTAGTTTGGCATGATCTCCCTGAAGTAAATTCATGTTGTCTCTGATCTTGAAATCCATGTGTTTTTAGATGTTTAACAATCCTATCCTTTAACATGGTTTCCATCACTTTCCCCACTACTGAAGTAAGGCTTACTGGCCTATAGTTGCCCGACTCCTCCCTATTACCTTTCTTGTAAATGGGCACAACATTCACTAACTTCCAATCTTCTGGGACTACTCCTGTTAACAATTATTGGTTAAATAAATCTGTTAATGGTTTTGCTAGTACACCACTAAGCTCTTTTAACAGCTTTGGGTGTATTCCATCAGGTCCCATTGACTTATTTGTCTTTACTTTTGACAGTTGAAATAGAACCTCTTCCTCTGTAAACTCACATGTAATAAATGACTCATTTATCCTTTTCCTTCATTTTCATTTGTAAATACAGAACAAAAATATTAATTGAGGCAGTCAGCTAGATCTTTATCCTCTTCTACATACCTTCCTTCTTTTGTTTTTAATCTAACTAATCCTTGTTTTGCTTTTCTTTTCTCATTTATGTATCTAAAAAATGTTTTGTCCCCCTTTTTTACTGACTGTGCTATTTTCTCTTCTGTGTGTGATTTGGAAGCTCTTATAACTTGCTTAGCCTCTTTCTGCCTAATCTTATAGATCATTTTGTCTTCCTCACTCTGGTTTTTTTTTTATAATTCTTAAATGCTAACTTTTAGTTTTTAACTATTTTGGCCACATCTGCGGAGTACCACTGTGGTTTCTTGAATTTTTTGCTTTTACTGACAAGCCTAATGCAATTTTCTGTTGCCTTCAATAGTGCAACTTTTAAATAATCCCATTTCTCTTGGACTCCATGTAATTTGCTCCAGTCTCATAATGACTCTTCTACACATATTCTAATTTTAGAAAAGTCTGTTTTTCTAAAGTCTAAAACTTTTGTTTTTGTGTGGTGTGACTCAGTCACTGTTCTTATATTAAACCACACTGACTGATGATCACTGGATCCTAAACTTTCTCCTACAGTAATATCTGATACCAAATCTCCATTTGTTTTTTTTTATCAATATCATTTTATTGTGAGAAGAAGAAAAAGGTGTGTAGGCAAATTCAAATTTTTAACAAGATACAAAAAGTTACATACATAACAGCAGTAATCACAATACATTACATAGCATTCCCGAGCCATTATTGGACTCCCTTCTACCGGTATTTTTTATTATTATTGTGTGAAAGACCCCCTAACTGGGCCGTGGAAAGAGAAGGGAACCAGTTCGTAGTCCGGAGTTTATCACTTAGTGCCAGTTATAGGGCTCTCGCCCAGTGGATTATAATAGATTCTGACTAACATTTTACATTCGCCTTTTCCATATGTTCATAATGTCTCAACCTGTCCCCTTATGTGTGAGATGCACCCATGAAGATTAGAATAGTGTGTATCACTGAATGTTTGAGTAAAAAGGAATGGCAAGGAGTGGAAAAGAAGAAGGAGAGGAGAGAAGGGATTGGGCATGATTTGGTTATCTAGAGTTATACCTATCATATAGCATCAGGGTGTGGTAAGAGTAGATTTTATGCCTTCTCGTGAGATGTTGTGCTTTGCACAACAGGTAACGAGCGCACTGTCACTGGGCTACATGAACTCATATCATGGCCTCCGTCTTCATTCGGGTACGTGTGCTGGGGTCCAATAGGACATTTAACCATTCACTGGCGGTAATTTAGATATATGGCCAAACGAGATGTAGAGTGGGGAGGTTAGCAAAGATGTACCCATGCTACTGGAGGCGTGAGTGGAGTTAGGGTCATATAATTGGAATATGCACATCGGCCTTGCCCCGGGGGAGCCCGAGCCCCCGCGCACACCGCCGGGCCACCGCCCTAATCCCCCGTGTTTCGTGATATGAAGGTGAACCATGGAAACCACCGTTCGGCATGTTTGTCTCCTCTGTCCTGTAAGGATGCCTGTAGTGCTTCTACTCCTTGGATATCCTCGACCCTGCGGATCCAGTCCTCTTCATTGGGTATCTCCGTCCGTTTCCAATATAATGGGATGAGCGACTTAGCCGCGTTCAAAAGATGTCTGAGAATTGATTTCTTATCGGAAGATATCGGCATCTTCGATATATGTAGGAGGGCCAGAGCGGCCGACCATTCCGTCCCATCGCCCAGTATATCTGTTATACGTTGTTTGATCAGATCCCAGAATGGGGTTATTGCGCTGCACTCCCACCAAATATGCATTATCGTCCCTCTATCCCCTTGGCATCTCCAGCATGTAGGTGCAACAGATGGGAAGATCCTATGTAGGAGAACCGGGGTCCGATACCACGAGGCAATCAATTTATAATTCGTTTCTTGATATTGAGAGCTAACCGAGCTCTTGTGTTGCCACAAAAGTGCCTTATCCCATTGTTGCGGCGTAAAAGTTGTGTCCATCCGCTCCTCCCACTCCCTGCGGAACACAGCATTCGCCGTCAGATGTCCCGTCAGAATGTGTTGATAGAGTATAGAGATAGCATTGTCCAATACGATCTTCCTCTCGCAGCAGTCCTCGAACCAAGTGCGGTCCCTATGCAGTCGTTCCTTGTCCCGCAATCTATTGTGGTAGTGCTTCACCTGTAGGTAACGAAGCGTTGCCAGTGGTGTCCTTGGTCGTCCCTCTAATAGGGTATCCACAGAGCGCAATGATCCGTCTTGTAGGACTGTGTGAATCGGAACGTACTCACGTCCTTCCAGAAAAGGCCACATCACCGGTGGAAACCCGCCCCCGATCTCTTTGTTATGAGTGATGGAGAGCATTGGGCTAGGAGTAGGGGAGATATGAGTTACCTCTCTCATGGAGTTCCAGGTGTATAGCGTTTGATTCAGTGGCCCCTCGTTGGTGATTCGCATTACTCTTCTGGTTCCCCCTCCCCAGATGGCTGGTTGTACAGGAGTGTCGGGGCTATCCCGTGTCAGGGCCACCCACTGCTTTTGTTGGGGTTCTGCGTGTAGCTCCATTATGCGCTGCAGGACCGTGGCTTGTTGGTATTTTCTGAAATCGGGCAAAGCTAGCCCACCACGATGTCTGGGGAGGCAGAGTAAGTCAAATCGTAGTCGCGCTCTCTCCCCACGCCACACGTAACGTATGACTGCGGATTTCAGTGCGGAGAAAAAGGTAATCGGTAGGGCTAGTGGAAGTGTTTGGAACAGATAAAGCAGGCGCGGTAGGATGTTCATTTTGAGAACCGCCACCCGCCCATGCCATGAGATGTGTGGGTGCGCCCATCTTTTCAGGTCTTCTGTTATTTTCTGCAGGAGAGGTGTGAAGTTGTATCGGTACAGATCCCTGGGTTGTGGAGTTATCCAGATCCCCAGATATTTCATTTTTTGGTGACACCACCGGAACGGGAACAGCGATTCTAGGGCCGTGTATTCGTCCTCAGGTATTGATACATTTAGTACTTCGCATTTAGATAAGTTTAGCTTGAAGCCAGAGATCAAACCGAACGTCTCAAATTCCCTCAGTAGGCATGGTATCGCAATTCGAGGGTTGGTTATGTAGAACAGAAGGTCGTCCGCATATGCGGCTACTTTATGTATTGTATCCAGCCATGAAAAGCCTCCGATGTCGGATTGCTGGCGTATCTTCTGAAGCAGTGGTTCTAATGAAATAGCGAATAGTAGAGGGGACAAGGGGCATCCCTGCCTCGTACCATTGGATACCTCGAAGTCTCCGGTGAGTGCGCCATTGACTCGCACTGCTGCTCGTGGTTTATCGTACAGTGCCCTAATCATCGTGAGGAATCTGTGGCCTATTCCCATCTGGCCAAGAGTGGCAAACATATGTGACCATTTCACTCGATCAAACGCTTTCTCAGCGTCTGTGGAGATCAGGAGAAGGGGCCGTCGTGTTTTCTGCGCCTGGTGTTGTATCGCGAAGAGCCGAAGCGTGCTATCTCTCGCTTCTCGACCCGGAATGAATCCCGTCTGATCCTTGTGTATGAGAGTAGGGAGAATGGCTTGGAGCCTGGTGGCCAGTGCTTTTGTAAATAGTTTGGTGTCAACATTCAGCAGCGAGATCGGACGATAACTACCGCAGAGCGATGGGTCTTTTCCAGGTTTAGGAAGGACCGTGATAGTGGCCGCTAAGGATTCTGCTCCAAAGCGACCCCCATCCGCGATCGCATTGAGAGCCTTGGTAAGCCACGGTAGGACTATGGATGAAAATGTTTTATAATAGCCTACGGAGAATCCATCCGGGCCTGGCGCCTTCCCCTTCTTGGCTGCTTTCAATGGTGCTGCCAATTCCTCCTCCGTGATCTGGGTCTCTAGGTCGGTAGCTGTGTCAGGAGAGATGACCGAATCGACCGTGTCTTGGAGGTACTCCCGTGTACGTGCCATAATAAGTGCCGTGTGCATCTGTGTGTCCTCCGCGTCTAGGTTATACAGGGATCGATAAAACAGCTGGAATTCCCCTGCAATGTCCACCGGTAGGGTAGAGGTCACGCCCGAGGTAAGTTTTAGTTTACGGACCTGGGTGCGGGGTATCTGGCCCCTCAGCAGGCGGGCAAGGTATCGCCCCCCCTTGTTAGCGTGAGTGTAAAAAAAGGCTTTAGAGCGTTGCAGAGAGCGGTGGTGGCGTTTCATAAGAAGCTCCTTTAGTTGTCGTCTTGGTTGCATCAGGTCCCGATACGTCTCCACGAGGAGCGATCGTTTGTGCTGGCTTTCCAACTCCGTGATTCTTCTGTATAGGTTAGCCATTTCCTTCATCACGGTCTTCTTCTTATGTGTAGCTATGCGTATGAGCGTGCCCCGCAAGACACTTTTGTGAGCTTCCCAAATCGTTATCGGTGATATGTCCGGTGAGGCGTTATCTTGAAAGTAGTGGGTCAGGGCTTGCGAGACTTGTTCCCGTGTGCCGGGATCTAGGAGTAGGGTCTCGTTGAGTCTCCACGTCCACCTAGAGGGGCGAAAGAGTGGGGATTCAAGTTCCACAACCACGGGACCATGGTCCGACCATGTGGCAGGCTCTATCTTAGCTGATTCTATTCGCGATAACCCCGCTTGTCTGATAAAAAGGTAGTCAATGCGAAAGTACCTATCGTGAATTGCGGAGTAGTATGTAAAGTCTTTCGCGGAAGGGTTGAGCGTTCTCCAGCAATCGGCGAGGTCCATATTGCCCAGGGTTCTCCGGATTGCTCGTAGGTGCAGTTGTGAGATGCTGCTGTGTCCTGTGGAGGAGTCCAGAATGGGATCCAGCGGGACATTGAAGTCACCCCCGAGGATTAGGATGCCCTCTGAGAAATCGTTCAGTTTTGCCAGAGCGTTCTTTAAGAACATTGCTTGTCGTTTATTGGGGACATAAATGTTAGCAAAGGTATATAGCTTACCCGCTATTGCCCCTTTCAGAAAAAGATATCTGCCTTGCGTGTCAGCAACAGTGTCCAGCGTCTGGAACTCCAAGTCCGCGGAGAGCAGGGTAGCCACACCTGCTTTTCTTGCCGTAGGGTGGTTGCAGAAATGGTTTGTCGGGTAGAATTTATTGCGGAGAGTAGGCGATGCTCCAGATCGGAAGTGGGTTTCCTGTAACATTGCCACCAATGCGTGTCGCTTCCTAAGCTCGAGTAGGAGGTGAGTCCTCCGTTCTGGGATGTTTAGTCCCCTGCAGTTGAGAGTGAGGACAGGCAGGGGTGCCGGCTGGTATGCCATGGTTTCTAACGTATGTGGGTTATGTGTGGTGAGCGCTAAGTTCCTAAGCTTCCTCCCTCCTTATGACGGCTCCGACCCCCCCAGGCCAATAGGTGCAGACGGGGTAGAAAGTCTGTTATGTAGATGGCAGTTAAGGTGTAGATAGGGTGATGTAAGAGGAGGGGGAGGAGAGGACAAGTAGGGGAAAGTGGGTGGGGAGAGATGGAAGTGGCCAAAGGTAGGGAGGGAATAGATGGCAGAGGGAGAAAGAGAAGAGAGAAGTAGAGTAGACTTCCCTTCTGATGGGTGTCTATGCCGGGGCAGGAGATACCCCTCTTGTGCCGCCCCTAGAGAAGGGGGCGACTCGTGCTGTGGCGGATAGCACAAGGAACACGTCCCGGTAACCAGAACGCTAGACAGTGTCCCGTTGTGGTCCGTCACCAGTCGATAGCACGAGTATGTGTGGGGTGACGTGGGTCAATACCCAGCCAAGTGTTATCAGATGTTCGTGGAAGATAGATACCCGTCCACATAACCCCCCATGTTTGCTGAACATACACATTCCATAAGGCGATTTAGTGCGTAGATTAACAAATATAACAGACAGAACAACAATATGAGCAGCAACGAGGCAACATAATAACAATCACAGCATGTTATGAATTGACCAATATATGGTCCCCTATTCGTCCCGCAGTTCCCTGGTAACGTCCACTCCCGGGAGACCTAGTTCCCAACCTCAGTTATAGGGGCACCTGCTGCTTTGTCCATCCTGTATGTGGAGGTCAATGTTTGTCTTATATAGGTGGTGTTCGGTAGTCCCATGCCCGATCCCCCGCTCCCGTCGCATGTGCGTTTGGGTCTAGATAAGATCGTATGGTTGGTTCGCATTCAATAGGCAACCATTCCTCTCCTCCCCCCCATGCGCAGTCCGTCCATCTCTAGTGCGTGGAATATGAGTGGGGACAACATGTATCGTAATATGAGTTCACACACTTCCCATGTGTAGCCCCCCCGGTTCTCGTGTGGTGCATCCCCTTACTTCAATGCCTTGGGTGACCCTATGCCTATGGCGTGATATGTGTCCCTTATACAGTCCAGATTGACCCAGTTACCTTGTATCCCCTGACCACATACCCACCCGACTAATCTAGAGGATGTCATAATTATATGCGTGGGCGAAGTATGTGCTAGGTGGATCGCCTAGCTATGTCTATCGGGGGTAACGGTCTAGATCAGGATGTGTCCCAGTCCTGCAGGTCATCATTCTACTCAGGCAAAGCTTACCAGTACCATAGATAGCCAACACTTTACGTGGTAGAGAGTTCAGTATATTATGGCAAGTTTCGATTCGGGAAGGTAGTTCCGTCCCAACTGTCCAATGTAGATGCAATAGGGTAGCTAGAGGGTTAACAGAACCTTCTTTTGCCAACTCAGCATCCTCAAGGGGGCATTGTGTGACAGGAACAATCGTCTCTCGTCCCTGTGTGGGCCATTAGGAAGAGAGAGCAAGAGAGGAGAAAAAAATAAAAAAATCATATTAATAGCTTGCTGTATATACAGTCCTTTCCCTTTGTTTGCCTGTGCTGTCTCTGTGTTTCTCTTTCGTCAATGTTGTCTCGTCGTTGGTGTCTCACTCCCACATTTCTTCCTGTTTATCCTGCAATCGGTGGAACTAAGATAGTCCAAGTCATCCCCGGGGTCACCTTGTAAGTATGCGCTCATCATCAGGGGGGTGATACGCGGAAGACAACCTGTTGCCCATATGATGGCTGAGCATGAGGGGAAAGGCCAACTAAAGCCAAGGGAGGCAGTGAGTGAGTAAAATCGGGGTCGGGGTGTACCCATCAGGCGCAGCTCCAGGGCTTCACTGTTCTTATGTACTAAAGTAGTCTTTAATTTCCCGGTTGGGTAAAAATCACTTTTCAGAGTAGTTATATCCATGTGTTTGTCAGGCTTCTGACTGTTCCATGCTCTCGTCCGACGTATCATCACTTTTCAGAGTCGCAAGATATGTGGATTGCATTGTATGTATCATTGTCTGAGTAACACCGCCGTTCTTGTGCAAAGCAAAATCCCTGTTTTCCTTTCTTTCCCCTTCTCATCTGGTCCCCTCTCCGCTTTCTGTTTTCTTACTGCGTTCATGGAGAAATGGGTATAACTTGTTTCTTGTTGATAACTCTTAAATGCTATTGTCCTCTGTTCGTCCATAAGAGGTATAGTAGTCAGGCCTGGATAATGTTGAGTGGTGAGTCACCTGTGTGACCAGAGGGTTTGAATCCCTCTTCTTGTTGCAGCTGAGGGGACAGGGTGTTGATCAGCCCATGCCCAATTGCGGTATAGTTTGAACCCGCGGGCAGATTTACTGGTTCGAGGTGGGGGGGGTCCACCCATGTGAAGGTGCGTGGACCTCAATAGCTCATACGGTGAGGGGGGGAGGGAGGAGGGGGGTCGGGTCAGGGGGGTCAGACTCAGGCACCAAGTCAAGTGTATGGGCAGTCAACATCGGCCCAAATTCCCCCTCTCCAGGGACCGGTACTCACTCATCCCGGTCTCCGTGTTCCATGCGCCGCCTGGGGGGCCGCCTCTGAGGGGATCCATCCCTGCGCAGCCGTGGGGCTCTCTGAGGCCGCGGGCCTTGTCCAGCAGGGCCGATGACCCAATTCGCGACCGGGATAGGTGGTAGCTCCAAAGTCTCTAAAAAGCGGGGTATCTCCGCTGGCCATCTTGCTGAGATCCATGTGTCCCGGTGGCGAGCCAGCAGTGCGAAGGGGAAGCCCCACTTATATGTGATATGGCGTTCACGCAGTGCTGTTGTAACCGGCCTTAAAGCTCTTCGGGCCTCAAGCGTGATGGGAGACAGATCGTTGTAGAGGGAGACCTGAGAGTTTCGGTAGGTCCATTCTGGGCGTTCGCGGGCCTTCCTCATAATTGAGTCCTTGACAGGGAAGGAATGGAGGCAGCAGATGAGATCTCTCGGCCCATCTTCAATAGATCTCGGGCGCGCAGCCCTATGTGCCCTTTCAAATTCAAAGCGTTCAGGGGCTTCCTCTTGTAGCATCATCTTAAAGAGGCCTGTCAGGACCTCCGCCGCATTTTCCCCTCCCTCTGTCTCTGGGACCCCCCTTACCCTGATGTTGCACCTGCGGCCTCTATTGTCGAGGTCTTCCAGGTGTCTCCTCATTTCGAGGAGCATGTCTCCTTGCCTTGTGAGTGCCATGTCAGTTGAAGAAATCCGGGAGGTTTGGGCCTCCATTGCAGTTTCCAGGGCCTCTATGCGTGTTCCGTGGGCGGACACCTCCGTCCTGATGCCCGCCATCTCCGCGCGCAAGGCATCTTGTATCGTGGTGGTTAGTGTGAGCAGATCGGTTTTAGTGGCCATAGAGGCCGCGATGGAGCAGAGTTCCTCCCCTATCCGATCCAGGGGGGATTGTTCTGCTCCCGGGGAGGAAGCAGGAGATGGTGGCAGTGAGCCTGGGCCCGCCGGCTCTCCCCCGGCACCGGTGGTCGGGTGCAGGAAGGGGTCCATAAGGCTCTGGGCAGGGTGATGGTGGGAGCCCCTCGGTGTTTGGGAGGGCTCCGTGCGTCTGCTGCGACCCATCTGTCGTCTGTGGCGGTGAGTAATCGCTATTTAGGGGGTATGTTGGAGCGGAGCACACGATCTAAGCGGCCATCTTGGTCAAGGTCGTGGCCACGCCCCTCCAAATCTCCATTTGTTAACACTAAATCTAGTATGGCCTCTTTACGAGTTGGCTCTTCAACAACTTGTTTTAGAGACAATCCCAGTAGTGAGTTAAGAATATGTGTGCTCCTGGCACAAGTAGCTAATTTTGTTTTCCAATTTACATCAGGAAGATTAAAGTCACCCATGATGATAACTTCCCCCTTCATTGTCATTTTAGCTATTTCCTCAACTAGTAGATTATCTAACTCTTCAATTTGTCCTGGGGGCCTATAAATCACACCTACACGAGTTACTGTGTGATTACCAAATTCTAACGTAACCCAAACGGACTCTATGTTTGTCTCACTAACTTTTATTAGGCTAGATTTTATGCTATCCTTCACATACAGGGCCACCCTCCCCCTTTCTTGCCTTCCCTAGCTTTTCTATATAAAGAGTACCCTGGCATTGCTATGTCCCAGTCATTTTTCTCATTATACCATGTCTCAGTAACAGCGACTAAATCTACACTATCAGTTGCCATTATTGCCACAAGTTCATGGATCTTTTTCCCTAAACTGCGAGCATTTGTAGACATTTTGTTCTAGCCACTTGAGAGGCTAGAACGAAATTTACTTTTTTTTGTGAAATTGCTGTCAGAAACCATATCTGTAGGACAGTTATGGAAAATGCCAGAAAACACTGGAATAAACTACAAAACTATAAAATAAACAAGACAGAGTTATAGTCATGACTCCAGGAACCAATACTGTTGTCTAATTCTTCTTTTTATGGATAGCTATGCATGATGGTTGTTGTAGACAGAAAAAAAAGTCATTGAGATTCATGTGTATTACCAGTGGGATTATTTTATGCCCCTCGATCAATGCTCCCTTTTGTAGTGTCCCATGTATATTGCACTGCATATTTTTAAAGAGAGAAATACGTAATAGTGCAATAGTGTACACTAAAAAATGAAGAGAGAAATACTTGATAGTGCTATAATGATATTTCTCTGTTAATTTTTTGGGGTTATATATGAGCAAAGCCCTACATTGTAAGGGTAAGCCTTCTGTCTAGCGCTGCACTATTCCACTCTGTGTAAATTGAGGGGATTATTATCTAAACTTAGTTTTCACACAAAGTGGTGTCTATGTATATATTTATCTATATTTATTTTTTCACTAAAAGTATCACCATAAAAATATATAAAAATACAAGTGCGATTTTTGTAATACTCATACATTGGTAGAAAAAATATTTTTCAAAAACAAGTATCTCTAGAAACAAAACTTGCAGAATATCCAAATCATATTGCACTACCCAGTCAAATAACCAAAAGAAATACACTAACAGA